TCGTGAAGACTAGCCCATGGACAGTAGAACACCCTGCGTGGGGGTTAAGTCTCCTGCCTTCCAGTCAAGCAAAGACATTGGCCAGAGAGGGTGAGGGCATCCACCCTGGGGAGACCACCTCGTGCTCTTTCTCAAACCACCTGTCTGTCTCTATTCTCTCTCTCTATCTACCCCCCCACACCCCTCTTGTCTCTATCTCTACAAATATTTCTGTCCCTCAGCCCACCTTTGGGTCCCTGGACTACTGTCCAAGTCTGAAGACAACCCTCTCTCTAGATCTGCCCTCCTCCCCCCACGCCTGCCCCCCAGTGGAAGTTGCATCTAAGCAGGGACATCTTGCCCACTGCTAACCTGGGGACTGGAAACCGCCGGACCCTTCCTAGGAAGCAGCACCCGTCCTCGGTGAAGAAAGAGTGCCCTCTAGTGGGCCTTGGCTGGAGCTGCTCGGGGTCCGTGTTGTTCAGGCAAAGACAAAACAAGCAGCCCACAGCCCTCCTGCCAAGATCTTGAATATGCCTTTGGGTTTGGTTTGTTTTTCTCCTTCTCTGAAGAGAAATAAAGAAAGAAGAAACAGCAGGAGACCAGTTGTGAGAGCAGCTCCGACAGGGCTGTGACCGTCTCCTTATCTTGGGAGTTTGACCAAAGAATTAACACACACACACACACACACACACACACACCCACACACACACCCACCCCTACCGGCCATGGCAGCCAGGTGGATGTGACAGCAGATGCTTTTCAAAGGGCTGTGACAGTTTCTACATAAATCACTCACCTGCCTTGACTGGCCTCAGACACGAGGGGGTAGATCTGTGAGGAGTAGACTCCTCCTTTGACAGTCATCACCAGAAGGGTTAAGCACCTCGTTGGGCAACCCCTCTGAATAGCGAGCCCACTGCACCTGATTACGTTCTCTGGCAGCGGACGTGTCCAGACCCGACTCCCGACTGCTAAGACCCTGTGCACACGGGCTAAACCGGGGACTTGGCCCTTTAAAACCTGGCTCAGGAGAAGCTGCTGGACTGGGGAGCCGGGGGAGGGGAGAGCGCAGGGCGCCCGTCAAGGAAGCAGAAACCTGATCACTTGTGATGGTTGCTGGATTAGGTAACAGCTCCGCTGGTTGAAATTGGATCTTGGAGGATGAGTGTTAACATCTCTGGTGTCCTGGCGAAAGGTTCATTTGAGTCTTGCATGGTGCCACAGAGATAAAAAGGAGCTTTTAAATAATCATTTTGTCTCCTACACACCAGAGTGCTGGCTTCAAGCAGTAAATAGGTAGCATCAGTTCTGCTTAGACCTATCACCCTTTTCATTTACTTATTTAATGTCGGAGGGATTTTTTTTTTTAAATGACTCGCCGAACAGTTTCCGTATCCGTGAATCCCAACACCCGTTTTTATAATGGTTCACACGGATTATCCTTCTGGGTGGAAATGAAGTGCAGGCAGTTTATTGGTCCATCCATGCCTCCTGCAAGTGCACAGACACAGCCCAAGGCCATCAGAACCAGAATCTTCTATGTGAAGTAGACGATGTTCTCGTTTATACTGTTTATATAGTTCCTGTATGTATACGGACACTATATATATATCCCATATATACATGTTATATGTACACGTTACATATGTATGTGGACACACATTATGTATATACATTGTATATACACACACATTATATACGTACACATGATATATATCACGTGTATATATATTATAAATGGTGGGGGATTCTGACACATACTCTGAATTTTTTTCTTTTCATAATGATTTCAGTATAATTTAAAGAGTGTAATTTGAAGAGGACTGCTTCTCCCCCACCCCCACCCCCCATCTTTATGTTCTTTTCTTTTCATCGGATCTCTGGTTTGGGACCCATTTATGTGTCCTGAACTCTGAGTATAAATGCAAGCAATGTATACGTTAAGGTGCATTGAATTCTATCATACCAATTTCTTATTAGCCACATTTGGAAACCAATTTTATTAAATCTTATTAAATCTAAATTTCTTTTTGAAGAGTATTTGTTTACAGGATTCATAAAATGATATAAAAGCTAAGTGGAGTGCTAACACTCGCACTATTTTTTTTTTCTCCTCGACTAAATGTATCCTTTATACCTGGGCGGGGGGAGAAGAGTCCGTGTAGGTGAGTGCTTTGCGCTGTGTGACTGTCCTAAAGTTTCCTTGGTGGTGAGGGGCCTGCAGTGATACCTTTCAGCATCCTTTGCTAGTCTTAGCAATTTTCTTCCTTATTTTATTTAAAACCAGTTAGATTTCAAGCCCAGCAAAATGTTACTTAGGTAGGTGTGCAGAGTTTGTGTGGATAGTCTGTGCATCCCACTGATTGTTGAAAAGGAAATGTTGAGCAGAGGTGTAGGTGAACTGTGTGGGTCTGGAAGGGGGAAATATTCTCAGAAGTAAATATCGGTGGTAGTAACCTGCCCATGGTTACCCGCCTAGTACCTGGAGGGAACTGGGACCAGCACTGTGGTGTGTGGATGCCTATCTCTGCTTCTCCTACTTCTCTCAGAATGAATGGAACTTTGCTGGAGGAATAAGTTGACGGAGTGAGCGGGGCAGTCCTGGGCACACGGGCTGAGGATCCTTGCCATCATCTGGGGCGGACAGGTTGTAGGCTAGCCCTAGGGGGGCAGGTCCTGAGCATTAGGATGACATTGCTCTCTTTCTCTTTGCTACCTTTGTTGAGACCAGAAATTAATATAAGATCTTTCACGTGCATGACAGATTGGTTATGGAAGGACCAGGAGGACCCACTAGGAGGCATTACCACTGTCAGCTTTGGAGACTGCTCTCCTAGAGTCTTTGGCCTCTTCTGGAGGCCAAAGAGAGATTCAGTAGAGTGGGTTGGAGAGTAGGATTTTGCACAATTTATTTAATGACCAATCTAAAGTGGAACAATTACATTTGTTTATTAAGAATAGCCCGGAGGTGAATCTTTTAAATGGCCCATAAATGTTTTTGTTGATAAAGCAATTAAAACCTGCTAAATGAAATTCAGTAGAGAAACCCCCATAAGACCCCACACACAAATGCTATCACCTGTAGAGGTGAGGAATTCTGGGCTCCACCGCCAGGTGCTCAGGTGGTCCCATTCTTTTCTGCACTTTTAGGGACTGGAAAGGTCTCTAATTCAGGAAATGGGTAGAGCGTTGAATTATTTTCTTAAGGAAATCTCTGTGAGTGGCGATAGGTTCTTCAGAGGACTTCGGAGGTTTGGGTAAATGAATCCAAGGCACAGAATAACAGGACTGAATGTTATTCAAAGGCCAGTCCAAGGGGCAATGTCCCAATTCGTCTCCTGGAACTACAAAAGAAGGATTTCACTGGAAAGATGCCCACAACACAAACCTCCACAAGGCCGTCACTGATATGGCGATTTTATTTTCGTGCAGCAAAATATCCCAGACTCAGGTGTGAGAGGAGAGGAGCCTGAGTCCAGAGGTGTTCAGGGTTTGTGTACAGAGGAGGGCTTCCTTCTTTCCTCGCCAGCTAGCCACCCTCCCCGAATCTGCCCTACCCTTCTCTATCCTCACTTCACTGCTTTTCTCCCCGGTGCCTTTAAACCTCTGCTCCTTGCTGCCACTCCTGAGCCACGTGGCTCAGCGGGCCATTTGACTGTCTCCTGTTTCATGAAAGCCATACTGCAGGGTTCCATGCAGCACAGGACTTGGGATTGCCTTCTGAACACCGCTCGAGGTTGGTTCTTGTCGTGCCTGACAGAAGCCAGGAGCATGTGGTTATGCTGGTATTATACGTGATGGGATGCCCCGAACATCTCTGCGTCCCTCGTATCGAGCTCATAGCCACCTTCCCGGTTCCCCCCCCCACCCCCCGCCCACCCCGGGGCTGTCCTGCTAGGGCTCAGGAGACAGCTAGAACAGGCACCACCTCCCGGGGCTCCCCAGATGCACCCCACCTGGAAGCAGCTCTTGATTCTCTGATTGTTCCAGCACTCATGTATGCATCAGGCCACAAAGTGCCTGTCATGGCCCCAACCCCATCCATGGCTCCTTCTCCTCTGCCTGGAATCACTTCCCTCCTTTCCTACCTTACCCCCAAATTTTTTTCACTTTTTTTTTAATTGAAAATTCTTCTCATGTTCCCTCTCAACAAAGGCTTGACTGCTGACAGCTAAACTGGGTTTAGATGAGTGATTTATTTTATGGCAGGTTGTAAGACGGTAGTAAAAGGAGACTGCCTAGCTCTTCTGCTGATTTTACTAAAACACTTGATCTCTTTCAGTCCCAACCCCCTCCCCCCACCCAAATGGCCATGGTGTTTTAATAAAAAGCAGCCCTTTCATTGATCTGAGCCTCCTCCATCCTATCTGGTTTCTCTGAATGCCTGAAACAGCTTGTCCAATGGGCCTCCCCCTGGTTTCCAACAGGACAGTCGTCACCTGGAATGAAGAGATCTCAGTGTCCAGAGAGAAACATACCTACTTGAGGGCCAGTCTGTCTTCCTGCTGTTTTATTTTCTTATTTTATTTTATTTTTTCTTGAAGAATAATTGACATATATCTTCTTGCTGTTTTAAACTTCTGTACTCTCCCTGCTGGTCTTGGGGAAAGGTCTCAAGATTCTAGTCCAAAACGACTGGATTTATGTGGCTTAGGTTATTTTGGAATTGAAAATTTAGGCCGATCAAATAGTATAAAGTCAATGAGTGTAAAACCACAAATTCACAAAATCTAAAATTAGAGACGAAGAAGGAACTGTCTTGCCTTGAATTAAAAATTTGGCAGTTTGGGGATGAACGTGAAAATTGTCTTCCGCTATAATTAATTTTTTGTACTTCTGAAATTTCTTGTGGTAACATCTACATGGACACGAGTTATCATTTTACCCGTTTTTCAGTGCCCAGGATACAGTTCAGCGACGTTAAATGCACTCACCATCCCTCTTGCCTTTGGGAAACTCTGTCCCCATGAAACACTGACTCCCAGCCCCCACCCCGCTCCCCTCTACTTTCTGCCTCCATGAATTGGACCGTTCTGGGTAGCTCTCATAAGTGGAGCATCATTCTGGAACAAAGCAAGCCTCTCCTTGCGTTCTCTCCCCCTCCTGGTCCCCCTGGCCTGGTCCTTTGCCCCTTCTGCACCTGCCACGTTGCAAGCACCTTGGTGATTCGCTGTACCGGTACGACATTGCTTTTCGGCTTTCTTCACTTGCTTGCGTGGGGTGCCATTGACCCTCCCCTCTGCTGTGTCCCCCTGCAGTCTTGAGTATCCGGGGAGCCCAGGAGGAGGAGCCGACAGACCCCCAGCTGATGCGACTGGACAACATGCTGCTGGCCGAGGGGGTGGCGGGCCCCGAGAAGGGTGGTGGCTCAGCAGCAGCAGCAGCGGCAGCAGCAGCTTCGGGGGGCGCGGGCTCCGACAACTCAGTGGAGCACTCTGACTACAGAGCCAAGCTGTCCCAGATCAGACAGATCTACCACACGGAGCTGGAGAAGTACGAGCAGGTAACCGCGGCCATGGGGGCGTCGGGCACCCCGGCCCTTTAGGAGGGAGGGTGAAGAGCCATGGGCCTCGGGGGGTTGCAGAGCCCCAAGGGCCAGCCTCTGCATTTCTGCACCGAGCCCCTGGCCGGACTGGAGGCCGCCGAGTCCTCAGTGTCCCCTGTTAAAAACCCAGGCAGACTGGCCGTAAAGGCATTTTAAAAACTTAAGTTGTAAGTGATGATCTCAGGAAACGTTAATAGTCAATATAAGAAATGTTCAAGTGGGGGCTCTGGAATATTTGCCCATGGCCTGTAGCCCAGGTCTCATGGGGTAAAAGAGGTCATTAGCCGTCACCACCTGACCTGCAGGGAGGTTGGTTGACTCGTACGGCCTTCTTTTGTTCCTTATTGTGGAAGATTCCTCATCTTCCCGGTACTCATGGAACCCGGTGGGAAAAGATACTAAAACTTGGCCTTAAAGTCACTTGCTGTACCCAGATTCAGCTCAAGTGAGAATCAAACATGTTCATTTGATATATGATACGGAATGCGATGCTCACCTCCCTCCATAAGAAGAGTAGAGAAGGGCTCAGGGAACCCCTGTCGTCAACAAAGTTGGATTCTAATCCTGACACTCTACCGATGGTCTGCGGGGCACAGTGGTCCACATAGTCTTACCCAAAAGCTGGTGATGTATGGCAAAGAGCTGTAGATTTGGAGTCAGGGATATCACAGGACCATAAAAACCGTATGAAGAAGAGCATAAGGAAGGCTTTAAATTACAAAGCAGTATATAAATATAAGGTACTCTAATTATAACAGAGCTGCTCTCTCCAAGAGGCCCTCCCCCTCCACACACATACACACACGCACACGGGACTTTACATATCAGTTCTACTTCCTCGGGTCTGTATGAGCAATACTCCTTTAATAGGAGTCCCTTATATCAGCCTTTCTTCCATCAATAGGTGACAGATATGTTTGTTACCACCTTGTTGGATGCAACATTATCCTGAAGTTCTACAGTTAACTTACTTTCCTTGAATTCTTAGCTTTCTGGTTTCCTATTCTTTTTTAAGAGTCACAAAAGAAGAGGGAGAAAAAGCAAAGGCAGAAGACCCTCTCTAGTCCACTTACGACTGTCTAGATAGAAGGCAAATGCAAACCTAATAGAAAATTTAAATTTTAAAATAGAAATGGGTATTTTAAAATTTAAAGTGAAGAGAGTTTCATTATCTCACTCCTATCTACCTTCGAAATGGATTTCTACCAAGTCCCTTCTTTTATGGCGGGGGCGGATTGCTGTGAAGCTTGCAGCCAAGCATGGTGCAACTCAACCATCAGATAGGCGTAGGGAGGGTTTGAGGGGAGGAGAATAGCAGCGATCTTATAGTAGAACCTGTGAGTCACTGCCTTTCGCCCTCTCAGGAAAGAGCAAACGTTCTTACCACAGTGTTGGCTCATGTAGACACTTCCTGAGGTCTCAGGGGATGCTGAGCCCAGAGAGCTGGCTGATCCCTGAAGTTTTTCTAACCTGATCCATCACGTTAGAGTTCAGTCAGCCCTAACTTATGGGATAGCTTGGGAAGACAGAGGGGGACATTTCCTATAAAGGTTCCTAGCTGGCCTCTTGAGTTCTCCCTACTCAGTGCTGCTCCTACCTTACCTTCAAGACTAAGCCTAGACTTGGCATCCAGGTTAACTCACCACACTCCAGGGGTACAAGAAGAGCCCAGAGTGTGGCCTTCCCCTCCACCCCCCCCCATTAAACCCTTAACTGGGATGGATGTTAGCCTGGTAGCTGCTGAAAACTGGCTCTGTTCTTAGCTCAGGTTGTCAGCAACGTAGAAGAACTGACTGCTAACTTCTGCCAATTGCACTTGTTGCTCAAGGTCATTTTGTGGTTGGGTACCCAGGACAGGCATGGTCAGCCTCTCCATTTTGACACAGGTGAGGAGATGGAGATCAGAGGGCTTACGTTGTGTATGTGGGTCACACGTCCAGTGAGGGACAGGGGTGGCCCTGGAATCCAGTTTCTGACACTTAGTCCAAGGGCTCTTATTGGAACACCACCTGACTAGTTGCACTCCATACAGAGAGAGTGTGGACTTGTGTAGGCAGTTAAGGAGTCAGCTTGTCTTCTGTTACTTCCGTGGACGAGAGAGTCTAGGGGTAATAATATTCTCCTTCAGAAACTTCTCATGGCTATCTACCTGCTTTAAATAATAAAGAGGTTGGAAACCAGAAACTTAAGGAAAAACTCCCATAAGTACAGAACAAATTACATTAAGTGGGGGGGGGGGGCTTAGTCGTCTGTATCTCTTATTCTTAAAAATACCCAAAAAAATCATTTCCTTAGTTATATGGACACTTTCTGGGTAAGAACTGAATCCTATTTAATACACTTTGGGCACTTCATAATTTATTAGTGTTAGTTATATTGTTAATTATAGTAAATAATGGACTGTAGGGAAATTAGGCCATTAAGATCCTAGCTAGTACGTCTGGGAGATAGATCTTCTTCATTTTTCTGTGACCGTTCTTGTGGGAGCTTTTTTAAGATCAGAAAACCTCAGGGGCACCTGGGTACTCAGTCGGCTAAGCATCCGACTCTTGAATTCGGCTCAGGTCATGAGATCGAGCCCTGCACCAGGTTTCATGCTAGTGGAGAGTCTGCTTGAGATTCTCTCCCCCTGCCCCTCCCCCCCCACTCAAGCTCTCTCTTTCTCTCTCTCTAAAAATAAATAAATGAAATCTTTAAAAAATAAAATCAGGATACCTTAGTAAAGTAAAAACGTTGCTCTCTACTTTACTAGTTGGATGAATGAAGTTGCCAAATTGGCTATTAATGGTTCACTCTGTTATTTTTCTTCATTTTAAAACATTTTTAGTATGGTGGTGATAGGTAACTAGACCATCAATTAGCTTTCTGCTAATTAGGTATCATGGCCCTCCTCAACCCCATCCCTTAAAAAAAAAAAAAAAAAGAACCACCTATCTGAATCAGCCATTGTTTCACCCTGAGGTTATTAAATAAAGAAAGCTTCTAGAGATTTTCATTAGAAAGAAAGGAAAGAAATTATTTTATTACAGTAAAGGGTGTTGGTAAAGCGCTTTTCCAGCAGATCATGGAGGTAGTAAGGTATTTAAGAGCTGGTATCTTCTAATAGATAAAACCGTGATGTCAGAAGGCTAAATTTTGTTCCAAGTGTCATTTAAAAAACGGCTGCTCTTGTGGCTTTGCAGGGTTCTCCAGCTTTGATAAGTAATGCTGCTGGGGCCTGGGTGAGGCTAAATCTGTAGGGCTGAACCGGGCCGGGTTAGTTGGTTCATGGCTAGGGGAATCCTAAATCCCAGTTACGTTCTTTGCTGAGATTGGCACCAAATCCAGTTTGAAGGAGGAAGGGAAGAAGACGGGCTAACCAGAGAAAATGACTGCCTTTATGACTGTCCACAGCAGAGGCTCTCCACCCCCTGCCCTCCTCTCCCATCTCAGAAATTCCAGCCTGTGAGGGTTCCCTTTAATTAGCAGTTGTCACCCCAATTATCCCCATCACTGTCGTATTGGGAACGCCTGACCTAACAGAGGCAGCCTGGCTTCCACAGCCGCAAGCTTGTGGGACCTGAGGAGGACGTGGTGTGGGTCGTTCCTGGAAAAACCTGGATCGTTATGTCCTGTCTGAAATGGACTTGGAACTGGTCTCCACTCTCTGTTGTGTGTTCCTGAGCAACTGTTCAGCAGCTGCCTTGTTCCCACCTCAGCAGTGGGTGAAAAGACCCTACTGTCTGTTTATGGCAGAGCAGAAAGGGCTCCAGGATAAAATGTCTTGAATAAACATCAGATATTGTGAGTATTTTTATTCCCTGTGATGACGCACGTTATTATTAGCCCAGCACTGGGGCTTCCCAGCGGAGAGGAGTGCACTTGACAATGCCCCCTCTCATCCAGCCCCTCCCCTGTTGGAGCCCCCACCAGGTGAGGAGGTTGCAGGCCAGCGAGGGAATTTGCCCACGGAGCTGGTCGGGATGCTTGCTCTGTGCCTAACTCTGCACTCCCCACCCCGTGGCCTCTTAGAATCTACTCGATGCCACGTCTTATGTCCTTCCCTTTGTTTACAAGTGGGGGGGGGTGGGTCGGCAGGGAAGAAGCTTATCATACAGATCTGGTGTTGATATAGAAATTTTCTTGGTGGAGAGCAGAATGCTAGATGGACCTGATCTCTGGGTTTATCTTCAGCATGGGCCTGCGGAGGAGAAAGAAGGTAATCATGACCCTGTTTCTTTTTACCAAGAGGGAAGCTGGTGCCGGATATATCCTTACACGGCCAGACACGCACCCAGTAACTCCTCTGACCCTTACCATACCCTTTGAGGTGGGTACTGCCCCCCATGTTTCACAAATAAGGAAGACAAGTCCCAGAGAGGTTAGGTAACTGTCCAAGATCCCACAGCAAAGTGAGTCCCAGAGACAGCGTCTGTATGCAGGCCGTCCAGGCCCCTCTTGCCCACTCTACTGTGTCCGTGACACAATTCGCTTCATTCGCAGGTCGCTGTACAAGACCATGGCGGCTGCTGGCCTTGCTCAGGGGTAGGAATGATTGAACCCAATCCCTCCGATGTATAAAATGAGGCACCGAGTGGCGAAAGGCTTTGCCTAGACACTCATGGAGGCGGGCTCGAAGACCAGGGCTCCCAGTCCCCAGTGTAGACGCAGCCCGGTGGATGTGTCTGCCGAGGTATCTTCGGCCGACCAACCTCGAAGGATTTCTTAGAGAAATGAGGAGTGAATGCGTCATTGTTCCTGCATTCTTGACAGATAGGAGAGGCTTTGTGCTGTAAATGCAGTGTTATTGTTAATGAGTGTGTTTCTGGTGTTGATATTAAGTTGGAGCCCTTTGAGTCCCTAGTTCTTCGACTGTCAAAGACCATCTTGCCTGTTCCGTTACAAATCTAATATAGTCTTATAACATTACTGTAGGTTAGCCCGTGAATAGATATTTCCATTTGTGGGCTCCACTAAGGAAAGCAGACTTCAAATGTTAAGTAATAGTCACCACAAGGAAGGCCAGTGGTGTGCACAGGAGCAAGTTTGGGTTCTGGGAAAGGACAGAAGTCCCCAGCTTGCAATAAGAAGTGTTCAGGTCCTGGCTCGACTGCTCCCTTTTTGCCGTGGGCCTTAGGAAAAAGGCCCTCCTCTGCCTGGGCCACAGTTTACGCACCTGGAAAATAAGGAGGGGGGCAAAGCGATCTTTAACCTCACCCACCTCCGGAGCTGATGGTATGTGGGTCTAACTGGAGAGGTTTCCTTTCTGCAGGGATGGCTCCTGAATTCTCTCCATCATGTGTTGATCCTATTTCTACAAGGCCTCTGAGGACAGATTCCAACTTGTGTTGTGGATATAGTGGGTCTTCAGGAGGCCAGCAGAGGAGGGAATTCTGGTAATAAAACTGAAAGGAGAAATAGGTGGATGAGAAATCTTCCCGAAGAATTAGCTTTTAATTTCATGATTCCGTCTTTTGGGCTGTTGACACATCCCAAAACTGGACATGTGGAGGTTCTAATATATCAGAGATAATGAGCAAGGTAGAAGTTTGTGCCGTATCTGACCCCAAACTCTCTTCAGCTGTTAACATTGGGGTAAAGGGTCGTGGGGTGTATTTTATACTAGGATTCATGGTCCCAACCTTTCACTGTATTAAAATACATGAAAACAAAATGATTAAGATTTCTCTTTACCCTTTAGAAAAATCTCAATCGTGGCCAAAGTTAGAGTCAAACAGGATGAAAGGTATTTCTAGGCCAGTCATTTATTTTATCCCTCTGATGTGACAAAACCCCCACAGACTAGCTGAGTTGTCTCCACGTGTACGAGTCTCTAGAAAAGTCCACGCGGCCCTCCGTCTAGGCCCGGACCCTCCACACGCGCCGGTGTTTACTGTCCTGCCGTTCCAGGCGTGCAACGAGTTTACCACCCACGTGATGAACCTCCTGCGGGAGCAGAGCCGGACCAGGCCCATCTCCCCAAAGGAGATCGAGCGGATGGTCAGCATCATTCACCGCAAGTTCAGCTCCATCCAGATGCAGCTCAAGCAGAGCACATGCGAGGCCGTCATGATCCTACGCTCCCGGTTTCTGGATGCGCGGTGAGTCACCGACAGGGCCACCTGTCCCCTGGGGGGATCCCGGATGCAGGGTTGGGACCCACACCTGGCCCTCTCTAAAAGCTGCATTTTCACCATGTCAAAGGCCCAGCGGAATGGCAGCCTGCAGAAGCTTCTGGGGTCTGGGGAGGGAGGCTGCCAAGACTCCATAAGCCAATGGTTTTGGACAGCTCCAAATAGGAAACCGTGTGATGAGAGAGGATGCTTTCTCTTACCCCTGCTGCTTAATCTGAGTGAGAAGCAGGGATGACTGAGGTGGGTGAGAGCAAGGACAGCATTTTCATCCCGCTCAGTACCCCTTTTACAGGTGTGTCTTGTAGCTCTGGGCTGGGGTGGGCTCACTGGATGCCACCGTGACCCACGTTCTCCAGAAAGATGGTGCAACTTGAGAGCTGTGATCTTTTCTGCATTACAGACAGGTAGAGAGTGCACTGAGTTCAGCTCAACAAATATTTGTAAGTAGATCGCCATGTGGCATCCTCTGAGCTAAGTTTCCGGAGCACAAAGACAAATAGGACCTGGTCCCACGGGTCTGGAGGAGCAACGGCTGGTCTGCTATGTGCCCAATTTTCAATCAGGGTTTGATGTTTTCCATCTGGCATTGCTACCCGTGACCTCACTTGTGAGTTCACAGAATTCAGTCGAAGAAACCCTGGATAGAAAGGTCCTCGGGACACCTGAGTGGCTCAGTCAGTTGAGCATCTGCCTTCTGCTCAGGTCATGATCCCAGGGTCCTGGGATCGAGTCCTGTGTCAGGCTCCTTGCTCAGCGGGGAGCCTGCTTCACCCTCTCCTTCTGCCCCTCCTCCCAGTCATGCCTTTTCTCTCTCTCTCTGACAAATAAATAAAATTTTAAAAAAAAAAGAAAGAGACGTCCTCTTAAAAAAAAGATAAAAACTGAGAACAGAGAACCAGTAATCAGTTCTTGGCCCATACTCTCTAGACCAGTGGATTTATCCAGATCCTTCTGGTTTCTTTAATTTTTGATACACAGCCTGCAAGATGGTGGTAATCCTATCTTTCATATACTCGAGAGGAAGGTTTTGATCATTGATCTAGCAGACATGTTTTCAGGGTGTGGGCATCCTTCGCGATCGACAGCCCTCAGATTAGCCAGCTTCTATAAATGCAGGTCACCATTCATTACTTCAATTCCTAAAAATCATCCCAGGCTATAATTTCAGTTAGTAGAACTTAACGTGTATCAGAGTCCTGTGCCATTTCATGATCTACAGTTTTGTCCCTTTACAATGAGACGGAAAGATTCACTGCTCCTTGATTAAGTTGTTCACCCCCGAACTCATGCATTATTCAGCTCACTTACCTGTATTTCTCTCTGTTCACAACTGTGGTTATTGCAGTCCACAGACCTCTTTAAAACTCTCTAGCATCTCCTAAACTCCCTTTTATTCAGTGTGTTTTGGGTCACATGGAATATGAGTTGAGAGTACCAGCTAGCGAGATGCATCTCTGGGCCACCAGAATTCTATAGGGTAAGTCAAGAGAAAGTTCACACAAAGAGTTTTATCCAGCTGGGCATGGTGGTGGGGGAGGTGGTAAGGAGGCAGAGTCTCCCTGAAGCAGGGCCCCCATGCATCTCCCTTGCCTCGTGACCTGCTGCCAACCTGGCTTCCTGAAAGCAGTTGAGTGCAAGTGGCTGGTGGCCTCTGTCCAGGTCCTGTGCCCGTTCGGCCGCCACCACCCCTCTGCGTGTGTTGCTTCCATTCTCATGGAAACTCCCCTAGTTAAAATTCTGGAGTTGGTATTTGTGTGGGCAGATATTGAAAAAGAGAAAAGTCGGGCCCAGACTGGATTCTCGTCCAGAGAGAACCCGGGGAGAAGGGAGAGGCGGAAATCCTTGTCTTGTTGGATTTCTGCTCGAGGTAACTGTGCTGTGTGCAGTTGAAGGTCAGGCTCAAAACTGGGCGAGCTTTGTACACGGTTCCTGTCACTTCCACCAGCCTTCGCCTAGGTGGTTCCAGTTGGCATCAGAAGAACAATCACTTACGAGAGGGTCTCTTTCCCACTTCGGCTGCAACCTTTGATTCAGTGCCTCTGAGCCAAGTCTCCGAACTAAAACAGCTCAGCTTCTGTCATTCTTACTAGCACTTATTTTGAGGGTATATTTGGTATTGGTGAAAGCGTATAACTCCAAATGCCAGCCGACGGCTGAGCAAATGGCTTTCCGGGCTCAAAAAAGAAATGTTTACCCAGATCTCGTGATCGGGGTAGTTTCTATCACTGCTTCCGGTGCTGTAGTTGGAGAGCTAGCTAAACAAACCTCAGAAAGAGAAACTGGTGCTGAAAGCCACGTGTATCTGATGGGCAGGGCTTCATCAGTGAAAGATTTGGTGGAAGACAAATGAAATACAAGGAGAGTTTGACTTAGTAACAGCATTAGTCATTGTAATGTCACAGGCATGTGGAGTCGAATGGTGTTACTTTGTTACAAAATACTCCTTGTCTCCGTTTTCTGTTGCCACCTAACAGATTATCGCAAATTTAGCAGCTTAAAACAACACAAAGATATTATTGAACAGTTTCTGTGGTTTAGGCGTCTGGGCACAGTTGAACAGGATCCTCAGCCCTAGTCTCACAAAGCTGTAATCCGGGTGTCGGCAGAGGCCATGATCTCATCGGAGGCTCCAGGGTCCTCTTCCAAGCTCATTCCCGCTGTGGGCAGAATTCAGTTCCTTGTGGTTGTGGGACTGAGGTCCCCAGTTCCCAGAAGCCATTCTCTCCCCCTGGCCAGCTCGCATCTTCACTGCTCGCTTTGTTCCTGGAAGCCAGCAAGAGAATCTCACCGTTTTAAGGTTTTAACCTAATCTCCCTAAACTAACAGGACGGATATCCTTTCTTTGTCACAACCCCACCCACACTCGGGGGAGGGCGGGGATGCCAGGCTGGAATCTGGTACCTTTTTAGGATTCTGCCTTCCATAGTCCTCAGCTAAGCACTTGGTCCAGGTTTGTCCATTCAAGTCATATCCTTTTCTCTTCCTTACATTGACTTAATTGTGCCAGAAAAAATATCCATCCATCCACCCATTCATTCATTCATTCATTCATTCTACATTTATTATCTCATGCTATGGCCCAAACATTGTGCTATCAAACTTGGTAAAGTTATTGTCAGGACCCTCAACACAGTTTTCTCAGTTGAAAGAGGGAGAGAGAGAGAGAGAATTTACACACACTCTTAATGATTTTCAAGCAATAATTTTAACTTCTGTTCAGTAACATTTTGCTGGAGACAACAATAAGAGGATAAACAGCTGGAAGAACACCTCTGCATTTACCCCCCCGAGAGAGGGATTACGTTAAATGAAGTAGTAAAGTGGAAGGCGGGCAACGAGAGGGAAGGACATGCAGGAAGGTCTGGGCCGACTGGCCTGTATTTAGACTGATTTATCTCGTTGAGTTTTATTCTCTGCCAGATGCTGTGCTAGCCACCAGAATAACTAAGAGGGAAAAAAAACACATATAAATGTGGGTCTTACCTTCAAGGAGCTTATAATCGTGTGGGACAAACAGACACTCTGATGAGTGAACATAAAATGGCATGTTCCTCGTGAAGTACCTCTCCCAGTGCTGCCTGAGCGGGGAGAGGGCAGACAGTTTGGGATCCCAGAGCGAGCAGGGGGTTTGCCAAACAGAAAGACTACCATGGGCAAAGGGAAACAACGCAAGCCACCATCAACAAGCATTACTTCGCTGGAGTGCTTACTATGTGTGAGGCGCTCGGGTTTCAAAGATGAGGGACACGTGGCTCCTTCCCTTGAGGAACTTGTTTAGCTGGGGAGACCTAGGTGAACCTGTGGCAAATGCTGTGGGAGAGAAATACACAGGTTGGTGTGAAGAGGCACGGGAGCACAAAAGTCACGAGTGTCTTTGGGGGCATGGAGAAGCAAGCATATGATGTGGCTAGACAAAATTGTGCAGAGCGTGTTTAGGACTGGGGGAGATGCGGCACTAGGGATAGGACAGGTCCACTAAAGACCCTTAACTGTACCCGTGAAGACTTCAAATTTGTCCTGAGAAACAGAAACCGTGAGAGCTGTTTAAGGAGGGAACGCCGTCATTTAGAGCTTAAGTTCTCAAACTGCACTGCTCGGGTTCAACTTCTGGCAACCTTTGTAAGACGGGCTAAGTGGCCTATCCTCCCTAGGACTCTGGTCTGTAAAATGGGGCTAATCCTATGCACAAGAATTAATAAGATAATATGAAGAAAAAAAAACTTAGTATAGGGTTGGAATATGGTATTCACACCATAATTCACACAGTACTTCCTTAATATATTAAGGATCACCACATTGTATATTATTTATTATTTTATTTATTGTATTTATATTTTATTATTATTATCATTACTATTACTATTATTGTGACATGATCAGATCCATGGTCTGGGAGAATTATTCTAGTGCTTCTCTTGAGGACGAGCTGAATGGGACAGGGGACACAGTAGGACCCCACTGTTAAAGCCCGTGTTCCTCAAACTGGGTGAACACTGAATAAGTATGAAGTGCCTTCCCCATTTTACTTAAATATGCAGGGGAAGATCATTTTCCTTTTAAGATAAACATTGTGTGCATTACAGAATAGACTAAAGCAAGAGGTTTGAGAGACATTTCATGCTTTTGATGGTGTGTGGCAGGGCTGTGAGTTCATGCCTTCCAGAAAGTATTTCTGGAACGCATCGGTCTAGAGTTGCACTGTCTGGTAAGTGGCTATTTGATTTTTAAATTTAAGTTAATGCAAACTGAATTACATTGAAATCAATAAAATTTCAGAATGTACCCCTCCAGTTACACCAGCCACATTCGAGCTGCTCAGTGGCCACAAGCAGGCTCGTGGCTGCTAGACTGGGCAGCAGAGACCTAGAACATTCCCATTATTGCTGAAAGCACCACTGTGCAGCACTAGCCAGACCGTTACATGATAGAGAGTGGCTTCTCTGAACCCATTTCAAAGATAGAGCGACAATAGGCTGGAATAAAAGGGTCGGATTTGAAAGAAGAGAACTGACAGGATTTGCTTTGGGGCCCCTCATCTGATGAAGGTAAGACAGCAGGATGGGTTAAGAACCACCCCTAGGGGTGGGAATGCAAGCTGGTGCAGCCACTCTGGAAAACTGTATGGAGGTTCCTCAAAAAGTTGAAAATAGAGTTACCATATGATCCAGCAATTGCACTACTGGGTATTTACCCCAAAGATACAAAAGTAAGGATCCGAAGGGGT